AGTGCAAATGTGTTTACCCAAAATCGCCCCGAAACCTTCATTGTCATACCTACTTTCTGTCAGGAAATTTTAGTTTCCATGGCAGACTACGTTTCCTGCCGCTTGTCACTTTACTGGCCGCACCTGTCACTTTACCGGCAGCACCGTCACTTTACCGGCCGCATTTGTGACAATTCCAAATGTCTATGACTCCTGTCATCACAGACTGATTGGCATTAATCAAAAATTCTTTATAAAAATTGAAATTTTATATTAAAATACGATTTCGGGTAAAATTTAATACAAAACTCGGCAGTAAAATGACATTACCTGACTCAGAAGTTAAAGTACTCGGCCCCAAAGGGGCCTCGCACTTCACTATTTCCTCGCCAGTCATGTATCATTTTCCGGACTTTTATGTAAATAACTATTACAGCCCTTCATTAAAAAAACTGTCCTTTGCGTCCCCAGCTGATTGTGGTACCTTGTTCCAGCACAGTTTGTTGGCCATTTCATTATTTTATAACACTCCAAGGTGTGCTCACATTTTTATGTTTACTTTTTAGTGGCGTTCGCCCATTTGCAGTCTCCGAGCGCGCCGGTGAAAACCGTACGCGCAATTAGTTGAAAATTCTCCATCTATTGTTTTCGTGCCGTCTCCGGCGACTCGTGAGCGCATTTTACGGTCCATTTTCCTTTCTAGATTGATTAAAAGGTCTAATAAAAAAATGAATGATAGGGCAATACTCGCTCGCAATATAATGTTAAAATTGAATGTATCCCGAGTATATATTATAATTTTATGTTCTAATATATCATCGTTTTTTCCCACTTTTTTATTTTTTTTACTCTTTAAGTAGATTGTAATAGCTCTCTTGGGTTTTCGTCCTCAAAACCTTTTACTTTTCGCCACGCTTGTCGCTCTCATCACTGCAGTCTTTAAAAAATGATGTGCGTATGTGGGTTAAAATTAACATTTTTGATTAACGATTAATTCGCCATTAATAGACAATGCTCTGGAATTGATTGTTTATTAAATCTTAGGACTTGTTATTTTAGGAGAAAACAACCAGTGTTGTGTGTATGTGTATATAGCATGTGATTTGCATAGTAACCATACCAAAACAATGCGTGCTATTCTGTAAACGGAATAGTACAAGTTCACATTGAAGGTGTAACTTTATACAAGTAACATGGGGGATTTTTCTTAGCCTGCTGAATGCTGATCTCGACGAAATTTATTCATTCATGATTTTTCTTCGTCAGTAGGTACACAGTTTCTAATGTCGTTGAACCTCTTCGTGTAAGTTGTAACTAAATTGCAGTTCAGCAATACTTTGCATTCATTTGCGTGTAGCTCCAGATAGCTTTAGTTTCATTAAGCTCTCTTTCGGTTTTCGTACTTAATCCTTGGAGGTCTACATTGCAGAAAATATCCGACTTTCTCAGCTGTAATAGGTATGTATAATCCATATTTCATAAAAATAAGACATCACTAAATGTAATCCATGACTTCCTGTTGCAATGTATCTTTAGATCTTGGTCCTTGTAGGTCCGGAAATATTTTCCCACATTTCATTTTGCATTTGTATTTTGTTCTGTGAAATTTATCCAAAGGGTGAGTTTGTTCGCTGTTCATCACGTAGATCTTTTAAACTAGCAGATACAGAATTTTAATGTTTATGTATTTGTTATTCAAATGTGTATTATGAACAATATCCACAGATATGCGTCTTCATTGAATAATGACGAGATTATAGACATTTTTTTTATTTAAATAGTGATTGGGTTGGGTTGAATGATAATTCAATTAATGTGGAGTTAGCCCCACATTTATAAAATTTTGCTGGTATAATTAGAGTTCTGGAGGCCAATATATTGGGGGGCAATTTCATGCAGCTCCCCATTGCAGCAAAAGCGCACTTAGCTAGACCATTAATAGCTCTACAGTTTCTGATAAGTCATCAAAATAGTAGGTACCGCTGCAAAAGATCTCGTCAAATATTCTAAAGCAATAACTCCTTATATTGACTTTACGGGGTGGCCAATTGAAAACAGTCGATGCCAATCTTGGCCACTTAACGACCGTTTTACCAGAAACGCCCGAACATGTCAATTTTAGTTTTTAGGCGGGCATCTAAATTAAATTTTTCCGAATTAGGTTTTCCTGTAGTTTTCCTAATTCGTAAGGTAAATACCGGAGTAGTATAGAACAACTTAAGACCTTCTGCAGAGGCACCTCTGTTAAAAAGTAATCGTAAACGATTTACCTAAAGTGCATTTCCACTTGCATTCATTTCCTATTTGTAAGATGCAACTTTTGTTAAAATTGTAAAAATCCGGCCACAAATATGAAAGATAGCGTTGCACATGTGCAATCCATTTTTGACGTGCTACTTCAATTTCAGTTTATAAGAAGAGTTTCATTTCAATGCTTTTCTAAATAAGAAAGTTGGAACTGCGCATGTGCAAACCTAAATTTTGAAGCTAACGTTAGATTTTCCTTTGTTCCAAGTGGCTACGTATCAAATTTCATTTAAATCCCTCCATAAATAAGAAAGTTGGCACTGCGCATGCGCAAAACCAAATTTTGAAACTTGGCGTTAATTTGCTTTTATTCCAAGTGGCTATGTATCAAATTTCATTTAAATCCCTCCATAAATAAGAAAGTTGGCACTGCGCATGCGCAAAACCAAATTTTGAAATTGCAAAATTATAAACGATCTCTAGGATCGTTAATAAACGGCAAAAGTGTAAAATTATGGAACATGTAAAAAAACGGTTTTTTGTTTTTTTTACAATAGGTAACTTTTTTGTAAGCGGTACAGAAAAAATTCCTTCCTTGGTACAAGACTCGACACCATAACGAACCAAATAGCGAAAAAAGTAGGACAATAGCTCTTAAGATAAAAAACTAGTAGCGTCGCAAAGTTAGCGGACGGACGGACGGACAAAGTGGCCCCAACGCTATCTTTCATATTTGTGGGCGGATTTTTACGATTTTAACAGAAGTTGCATCTTACAAATGGGAAATGAATGCAAGTGGAAATGCGCTTTATGTAAATCGTTTACGATTACTTTTTAACTTGTTATTTTTGAAGTCCAATTGGTAGTTCAAGAGAAATCTCGATTTAAATGGATTTGCCTCGGGATTTGCAGAGCCGTTTTAAATGTTTATTAATATAAGTAGGCGTTGAAAGAATTGATAGCTTGGCTCAGAAAATAGCATCTGACACTCTCATATAATGAAATGCAACTTGTCTATTTTTGTGATAGGTAACTTAAAAACAACGTCCGTCCCTCTGTACTATAGTTTCAAATTGTATATTAAGTTCAAAAAGATTAGTTTGTTCGTATAAATGAAATTGCAAATAGATACGGCCATTATAATTGGAAGCAAATAATTGCGTGTGTTACAGGTTTTGAAAATTCGGCCAATTAAAAATATTCATTTAAATTTGCCGGGAATTTTTTGGGAGGAGCTTAACTGCATCTGTTTTGTGAACAGTTAATAGATCTTGTCTTAAGAACTAATGTTTTCTTTTTCTCGTTATTTTGTTCGTTATGGTGTGGGGGCTTGCACCAAGGAAGGATTTTTTCTGTGTCTCTTCAAAGACAGTTATAGTTAGACGTTATAGTAAACAAGTATAAATTGTGCACAACTCTTGTGCAAATAAAGCGCATTTTTTTAAATCGAAATAGCTTAGTAAATGGTTGCGTTATTAGGTAGTAGCATGCTATATTTATCGATGTTTTCTTTCTAGGTAAATGATTAATGGGAATGGGGCTCTTTACACATAAAAATGTAAAGGTCGCCTGACATACATTAAAAATCTACGCTATATAATGCAAAAAGAATCGAGCTCTTAGAGAAATGATCGCATTTTCCCTTTGTAGGTACCTTTCTCCAACATTTTCGACCGATTTTCGAGATATTCACAATTATGTTTTTACATCGCCGGCAGATCTGTCTCGTCTACACGTTCTTTCTGTCCTTTGAGGATACACTCCTCCGACACTTGGTTTTGCGAATATTTGCACTGAAAGTTTTACATCACCAATAGATAAGTCTCGTCATGGCGTTCCACTTGCCCTGTATAATTGGTCTTTAAAGCACTTGCAACGTTAAAGGCACTCCGCTTTGCGTCGTGCCCTTAAACTCGTTGCGCGTGCTTTAAAGACTTGATTATACACTTGTATCTTAATATACTATTTCATGGATCCAAAAACGTGGATCTGTACTGTCACTGAAACTGTTGTCACTATACATAGCCATTCTGCCAAGAATCTGGTTCTCGATCGGTTTCACGTTCATAGGCCAATTACAAGTAAAACATAAATAGGCAACGCTTACCTCAATGTAAATTAGATGTCATCCAGAGAAGTGAGCTCAGTTCTCGGATCCATAAACCTGCAAACAAAAGAAAACTCCCAAGCCGCGGAGCTCGGAATGCAATGAACTGTACAAAGCCCGAAGGGCCTCGGCTCTCCAGAACTCCAGACCATAACTTAATAGAGTTCGCAGAGATAATAAATAAGTACTGAAAGTAATAAATTGATTAAGTCAATTAAGAATTCAATCGCCAAATATTTATAACATATGGTTGGCGGCAATTAAAATTCCATGCGTTTTCAAACAAACGCCTCAGCTTTTCCAACGAATTGTCACTTCGTATGGTTCTCGACAGAAAGAGTCTCTTCCTCGCCGTTTTTAATTATTATTTATTGGTAATTTATTTGCTGTGGATCCCCTGTTGTGCCGAAAAAAGCTCTGAAAACAAGTCTTAAAAGATTTGTTGTAGGTAGATACTAAAAATATATGAGTAATTCAGTAACGGTGATCTACTCATTCAAAAGTATACAATGTATAGGTCAATAACAATTATAGCGAATCTTTCATTTTTCTTATCTTCAAGTTAAACTATTTCCCTATTGTTAATTACATTATCCATATCTCATAGATAATAAACTAATATTAGCAGTGATACATTTAAACACTCAAACTGAATTTATTTCTGTAGACATGTCACATGAGCACGGCCGCTTCACTAAGAAACGTAAAAAAAATGAGGTCGCATCCAGGTACGCGGATTGAAGAAAAAACTGTCCTTATATCATGACCGGTGACGGTGCAGTGATGAAACGTGTTGAAGCTTCGAAGTATTCGGGCGATACCAACAGTGAACAGTTTCTGAGAGGTCGTAAGCTTGGTATTGATAATCGTGTACGTAATGGTGTTAAAGACTTGAGTAGGAAAAATAGTGTTGAAGTGAAAAACTCTAAACATACGACCGCTGATATGGTTACACGGGTTTTGGAGGACGCACCCAAAAACGACAAAGTTAACAGGCGAAAGTCCGATAATATGGAAGACACGAAGGCGTTGCACAGAAAAACTCGCGTGTTCATAGAAAACGACCTTCCTGACGATGTGGTGGAAATGAGAGAGAGAAGAGATTCGTTATACTCCCTGGAGGAGCACGACGAGGAACGCGATGATATTGTAGATCCGAAGAAACAGAACGCGGACAAATCCAATACCCAACCTCCACCAAAGAAGAATTCGAAAGCTTTGATAGGAAACGTGTTCAGAAGGAAATCAAAGAAGGAGGATGTCGCGGAGAAACCGTTCAAAACTAAAAGTAAAGAGTCTGAGGTCGACGAGAAAGAGGAGAAACCTTCGCGACTAAATCGTACTCCGTCATTTCGCAAGAAGTTGTCGAATTTTATTAATAAGGACGCGCCGGGATTCTTGCGTCGGTCTTTTAGTTTCAAAGATATAAGTAAGCAGAGGGAAAAAGATAGATCGAGGGAGAAGTTGGTGGCGATGAAAAATTCCGAATGGGCTTCGTCGTTGCAGTCATTAGTCGAAACGGACATTGCAATTAGTTACAATGATCTTAGTTTCATCAATTATGATTTTCAAAACGAGGTTACTTACCGAAAGGCTGTGTCTTTCTCGGCACCATCCAGTAAGGGATTGTCTAGGGCGCAGAGCTTCATTGATAATGTAAGTACTGATTTTAATTTTTACTTAACAATTTTCAACTTCAAACTTAGTGGCTCAATTCCAAGTTTTGCATACAAAATTGAGCACCACCACATTATAAATTCAGCCTAGGTCCACTACTCTCTATTTAAACTGATAAGTTCTGTTGTCACAAGTTACGATAGCCGTAATGGCTCAAGTAATACAGTACTTTAGCGGAGGCCAATTTCAGAATGACTATATATTTTCCGATAGGTAAAAAACGGATAAAATTAAAAAAAAATTAATACTAATTCAAGGAGTTTCAAGGCAGATTTTAAAAATATAAAAACATTCCACATGAAATTTTTTTAATTTTTTTAAATATATGAACTTTTTGGAATTTTTTATATCCTTTTTGAATTTTGGAATCACTTGAATCGTTTTTTAATATTATCTCTGGTGTTTTATGTCTTTGAGGAGAGAATTTAATATGCTTTCTTTTTAGATTAAAATATACAGGGTATTCTCTATTTAAAAAAATGAGGTTGAGGCCGATAACTTTTATATCTGACCTCGTCTAAATTTTGAAAACGGCAGGCTATTATTATAACAAGTCAAACTTTGGGCGTTTTAGAGAACTAGTTCTAAAACGACACATTTGGACCTTCAGTTTATTTAGAAAAACAGTATTTGTTTTTGTGCTCTCCGTGACCAATTTTTTGACATTTGGTTGTTATACCGTGTATATCGGACAATATACATATCGGCCCAATAATACCAATAATCCAAAATAGTCGGGGGAACCGAATTTAGGGAACGAAAATGCATCATTTGCAGTATTCGCATATACTACTATTGTTGGATAATGAATCTTTCTGCAAAGGTATCAGAAAATCAAAATAGATAAAGGGTGTAGAATTGCTCAAAAGTGGTTAAATGATCTTTAGACTCGTGGAAATCAAATGAAACTTTCCGCAATCAGGCGAAATCCTAGATTTTCACAATCTTGTCACAGTTTTCTTCCTAGCGGTTCGCCTCTTCCACGTTCTTGATTACTTAACTATGAGCTGAACATTTTGTCTGGAACACTGGATATATTTTCACAACAATATTTTTTGAAAAGAAGCTCTTTATGGTATACGATCTACGCACATACTTTAAATTTGTGGTCAGTGGCGTACCTCTGCATGGTTAAAGGGGGCATATTTTGTTTTTTGATACATATTCTTGAAGAGTTTTGGATATAGCAACATAATTTTTGATAACATAAATTACCATTACCATTTCTTTAAAAAATTTTTGTTTTATTATGCGGAACATCAAACTGAAACCAGCTGTTAAATTACAAAACCCCGCGGAACGTCCTTAATTATGTATAGATATAAGCACGTGTGTACTCTGAACTAAAGTGCGCGTGTTTTATCATGAATCATAATATTCACTAAACGAGCTGGGTTGCCATATTTTCGTAAATCTTAGTTTTAGGGATCATGGTTACAGAGTGTAATATGTCAATATTTTCGTTTCTGAATCCTCATTATACCTATCTAAAATAAACTTAGCAGCCATTTTTTTTATAACACATTTTAAACCGCTTCTAAGATTCATTTAAAATCGTTTGTTAAGTTATGTATAAAATTAATTGTTTCTTATAAAGTACATCGTCAATGGTAAGTTACCTTATACAGTACTACTAAAAGTACGCTGGTTCATTTTTCGTACCTAATTTTGTTGACTCTATTACCATGGTTACTGCCTATGCCAGCCTTGAGAAACATTAAAACTGTCAATCACGAAAACATTAAACGGCTACGTTTCAACGTCCATCAGAGCAAAAAAAGAAGAAACGATTAACGTCCATCACCAAACAAGCAACGACCAACGTCTTCCTCTGCTATTTAAAACCTTTCTTCTCTCACCTTCCGCCTCTCTTTTACTAGAATTTGCGGTTTCGAAATTAAAAACCTCTGTTTTTTATCTTGAAACTAATTATCTTACGCAGCGTGCACAAATTTTCTTATCGCAACGACCGGATTTAAATGAGATAAATGTAACAAACCATTTCAAGCAAATATTTGTAGATGTTCCTTATCATTAATTCTGATGCAAATTAAAGCCGATTTCAAATTCGAATTGACATGATTGAACTTGTGTTCAATCGCAATAAATAACCACATTTATTGTCAAAAATAATCGAATTTCAACATACGGGGTGACCTATCGTTATTTTAGATGCCGATACCCAAATATAACGTCCGCATAATGTAACTTACACACCAAACAACACGAATTTTATTTAATATTATCTCTACGTGCTGCTAAATACGTAAATTGATATCGGTCCGCTTGGAAGAGGTTGTCTTTGGCTACTGTCACGGTAATAAAAATTTGAAAACGAAATCAACTTAGTTCGAACTTCGAACCCGCAAGGTTTCGATATCTGCCGCCACGCTTCTCCGTCACGGCACCCCACTACTCTTATCTATAATTGTTGTGCTGAAACACCGACACGGAACCAACGCAATACTGACGGCTCGCGCCTATTCGCAGAAAGCGGTACATAAATACCTTTTTTCTGAAACTACTTTAGAAACAACGGGCGATCAAAAATGAGTTGCTGTCGAGTCACCTTTGGAAGTTCAAGTTAAGTACGATTTCGCATGTAAATAAAAATTCGAAAAGTGACTCGACAGCAACTTATTTTTGATCGCATAGTACTTCTCTCTAAAAAAGGGTGAAAAAATGTCATTTTCCTCTCTACTAAGGAAAGTAAAAAAACAAGTTAAAAAGTAATCGTAACCGATTTACTGAAAGCACATTTCCACTTGCATTCATTTCCCATTTGTAAGATGCAACTTCTGTTAAAAACGTTAGATCTTCCTTTATTCCAAACGCCTATGCATCAAATTTCGTTTAAATTCTTCCATAAATATAAAAGTTGGCACTGCGCATGCGCAAAAATAAATTTTGAAACTGGCGTTAGATTTTCCTTTATTCCAAGTGCCTATGTATCAAATTTCATTCAAATACTTTTATAAATTAAAAAGTTTGCCATTCGGTTTATAAATGGTCGAGATGCGAAAAGGGCACTGTGAATTTTGAATCGATTGGACTCAACTTTTGGTATTGCGTATTATATGGCTAAAGAAAAAAATCCTTTCTTGGTGCAAGCCTCGACACCATAACGAACCAAATAGCGAAAAAAGTAGAACAATAGCTCTTAAGATAAAGAACTAGTAGCGTCTCAACGAACGAGCGGACGGACGGACGGACAAAGTGGCTACAATAGCGCATTTTTTTTACTTTTGTGGAAATGCGCTAACAATGGCTACGATAATTTTAATAGTGACATTTAAAATTGAAAAATATCCGTATCTAGATTGGTAATGTGTCACACTTCATTATTGCTTTCAATTTTGATTGAAGTTTCAGGAAAAATTATGTGTAAAACTTGAGAAGAAAGTGTTTTTCAACTCGAGTTCAAAGTTCAAATTGAAGAACAACTATTACCCTAGCATCTCCGTTCGTTCTTCATTTGTTTATAGTAAAATTGTCAAATAATTGCAAAATTAATACTTTTACTTTAAAGTACAATTTTGTATTTAAAATACCATTTGATTGGATACTGACAAAAAATGAAAGAGGAAACGCAAGACTCTTAGAGATGTCCCTCCCAAACAAAACATATGGGACCCTCAGTTTATATAGAGAAAATTCTTATTTTGGTTTTCTGTTTCAGAGCACTTCGCCCTCCCATCGCAAATCAAGTCTTTCACGAGGAGTGTCGTTTCCAAACCATTATCAGTCATCCTTAGGTAAGTTGTATTTTATTTACTACTCGATTTACTAGATTGAAACTATACCGGTTTTACGCACGTAATCCTATTTTAATGTAAGTAGAGCTGGAAAAATATACACTATACAGTCTGTTTCAAATTGAGTCGGCACTATTACTAACTTCCTTTGATGTAGAGTTGGAAAGATGGTTAACCACAGACCACATAACTTCGAGTTTATTTTGCGTTACAATGATTTTCAAAATTCTCTTAATTATTACCGAGGTGTAAGTTCGTTTTAACATAAACTCGAAGTTTGTTTTCCACGATTTAAGGAACGCATATGTCAATACTGGGGGATACACTTAGGAGCAATAAATTAATGTGAACAAACGACGCGATTTTGTGATTTTTATGGATATTTATGGATCGAAATAAAATAATTGATAAATCTGTCATATGATGTAATTGCATAGGTACAGGATGTTCCATATAAAAAGTCACATTTTTGTTATTATCTGAAAAATGCGATCTTGTTTTGTTTAAATTGCAGATTTAGGTTCAGTAGACAAAAATACACAATTTTGCTAATTTAATCGCCTTTCTAACTCTACAATTAAGAAAGTTAGCAATAGTACCGACTTAATTTGAAACAGACTGTGACTGTATACTCGTTTTGAATTTGACAATGCAACATAATATGACTCAATTTGTCATTGTTTCAGTGAAATAATGAAATGGTCTGTGAAATGATATTTGTTAATACTTTTTTTGTAAAGCGTTGTAAACCATTGATAATCTATCTTGCTTAAATTTGCTGTCGCTAAACTTTGGATTTAGAAGCAGCCGTGTAATTGCCACAAATTGGATACGCTATTTCGCATCATAAAAAGATTTTCATCTTGAGCAAAACAAAGTTAAATTATTCCTTTTATTTCTTATGCTATAGAATGATTAATGCATTTTATTATCGGTGTATACTCCTAATGGATCGTGGAAAGTTTCATAATTACTCCTCTTGGTTTCTAAGCATTACTTTCCTTGTGCCATTTTTCGTAAGGTATTAAAGGTGCATTCTTTTGTCCGGAAGGTGCAAGAAAATTATCTACTTTTTATTGTAGGCATTACCGATCAATGACTTTTAACTTTTTTGTATATTGCTCAAGTAAAACAATTACATTGTTATAGCAATACATCATACACATGTTCAGTAATATTGTACTATTCTCGAGATAGGAAACTTATCCTTCACCTACATGTTCTACATAATAACTTATGGTCTGAATTATAGTTAACATTGCGTATTGGTCGCGTTGATCTATTATTTACCTTGCTACTACAGTCATTTGGTTATAAAAAAAACAGAGATCTTTGTACCTTTGTCGCTCGCGCCTGCATATTTAAATTAAAACACAAATTTCAGAAGACGCCTATTTTAGCAAGAGTTCAAGCTTCGAGTAAACGAGTAATAGAAGGCCTTCGACAACAAACGTTTTATACTATTTTCATTGTTGGGCCCTTCAATTGTAATTAAAAAACTTCTTAACTTTCCCTTAGAAAATTCCTGCACATCCTATAGATCGGGAGATGGTGACAATTTGTCTGGTGTGATTTGCTACAAATATGCATTTGAAATCTAGGGCTGTCATTGTTTAAATTGCGTGACAGTTCTGTCAATATAAGAGTCGCTGATACGAACCTTTGTGTATCCTCACCCGTTCCTCCAAAAGTAACGCCGGTAGCATCAGAAACGTCGAAGCGTCACCTCAGAATTAATACAACCGCCAAAAGTGTATCTGCTTTTTAGGGAATGTTTCGGAAGAAAAAAAAAATCCCGTATGTAATGGTTTTGTCCGGCCGTCCGTATGTTCTTCATCTAACACCCCGCTGGATCTAGCCCCCCCACTATTGTGAATCAATTTAAGAATGGTATCCAATTTATGAGCTATTTAGGAGCTTTTCATATCGCAAGCTTAAAATTTTAGAGCTCGCTTTAATCACTAGGAATCGAACATTTCTTATGGGGTGGCCGAGTCTACTTGGATTCAACCCCCTCACTGATCAGAATTACTTTTATCAAATTGAATTTTGTACTGGAATTACGTGCTATTTAAGAGCTTTCATTTACAAGTAATTGTAATTTAAGAGCAAATAGATGTCATCCTGGGAGCGGCCAGGTCTATTCTGGCGTAGCCCCTAATCTGCTTTTCTTTATTTATTACAAATTAATCTTTGTCCATGAATTACGAGCTGTTGAAAAGTTTTCATTTAATAAGTAAGTCTAATTTTGGAGCTTCACCCTCAATAGATCAAATAGTCAATCGTTGAGGGCGGCCAGGTCCATTTCACAGTAGCCTTACCTCTGAGCTACCGGTTAGTTGCATCAGCACGTACTCTCTGTCAGTTTTGAGTGCATTTGTTTGTGTAAAAAGTGAAAACTTGGGGTAGTCTTGAATGTTTTCTCATCAGTGTTAGTAACTATAATCGGACCAATCCGAGGACCAATCTATCTCTTCTTTTGATCTATTACGGAATCCAGAAGCGTTTCTTTTTGTATCGTAAAAACCTAAATTCCAAGAGCCAGAGGGCCGAAGTAGATGCGTGGCTGAATAGATGATCAGCAACTACTGGCTCCAACTTCGGAGCACCAGGCGCCACACCGTTGTATTAAGTTGGCTTACACGTGTGCAGGGGGCTCGACGCGTGTGGACATTTCTTTCCCCCATACTCGTGGCACTCTTATGGCCCAAGAAAAACAGAAAACACAACAAACTACTCCGAGAGTAGCGATATTAAAGAGCCTAAAAAACTCTCCGGAGCGGCGCACCGGAAGCTAGTAAAGATGAGACAGGTACCAGGAGGCTCTCGGTAAGAGGACATATGGCGAATCAAAGCCTGGATCCTTGACAGAGTCGACGCTTTTCTCCAATTTACGGAATGTCGCCACAAGGGAGAGCGCTGCTGATCACATGCGCAATCCATGGTATCGGTGGACTCCTTGAGGTCAGAGGTAGCGAGAGCAGCTCCAGGGGGAGGGGGGGGGTGAGGTTTTGATACTTCGAAACGAAGACCGTAAGGGCACATGCCTGGATCCTCAAGTGGAACTTGAGAAGATCCCCAAAAGGATCGAAACCCAAAAAGCTGAGGGTGAGGCATTCGCTTAATCTTTGATGAAATCTCTAAAAGTAAAATACCTCGGTAGGATAACTGAGAGGATAACCAAAACAGTTTGTGATAAAAAAAACTGTTTAAGATGATAATCCCCGCTCGATACGGATGGTAGGCAGGATAATACTAGTAAGGTAAAGCTGAATGGAATCGTGTAGGTATTACACAAATGGCTCAAAAACCACGGAGGGCACCGGCTGTGGAGTGTACGGAAGCAATTGACAGGGCTTCAGAATCTAGGACAACAAGCAACCTTGGTCCAAGCCGAGGTATACGCAATCCTGACGACAGTTGCTCAATTATATTAACAGAAAACCTTACTAAAAGGAAGATCTTTAGAGTAACAGACAACAAAGCACCGATTGCAGAATTAGACTTATATGTAGTCAATTCAGGACTTTTCCTTGGATGCAAACAAGTACTAAACGCACTAGGAAGCTGTAACACAGTCACAAGTGGAACTGACCGCCCCATCGATTATATCTATTTGCTCTTTTAAGGGTGGCGCTCAAAAATTGAAATTACTTGTAAATGAAAGCTCTTAAATAGCTCGTAATTCCAGTACAAAATTTAATTTGAAAAAAGTAATTCTGATCAGTGGGGGGGCTGAGTCCAAGTAGACTCGGTCACCCCATAAGAAATGTTCGATTCCTAGTGATTAAAGCGAGCTCTAAAATTTTAAGCTTGCGATATGAAAAGCTCCTAAATAGCTCATAAATTGGATACCATTCTTAAATTGATTCACAATGGTGGAGGGGCTAGGTCCAGCGGGGTGAAAATCTTTGGGCATGCGACGTCACTGCACCTGCTGGAGTGGATATGAAGTGTTTTGCCAAAACCACCGCCGTTAAAGTATTACACATTGCGGCGCTCGTACGCCAAAACTATGGATTTTGCAAAAATTAGGTACATAAGTTGCAGGAAATTTTTCCTAATGAAAACGGAGCTATTGTAAAAAACGATCATTTCTCAATATGGCGGCGCGTGCGGCAAAGATACGAGGTGGCCAAGTTGAAATTCGGAAAGAGTACATCAAAAATATATACAATTATTACTCATTTTCGAATCTCTGGGAATACTGGCCACTAAACTACCAAAAATAATGCCACCATATACCATAAGAAATGCGTCAAGATCGTAAATAAATAGTAGACCGAGAGCCCGCGTAGAAAATACCTCGTCATAGGGTACAAAAGGTTTGATGTAACTAGGCCGTAGAATGTCACCGTGTGATTCCAAAATCGCCCGTCTGTCGGCCCACGGCGGTCAACTTAGCGTGGGGGCGAATTTTGAAAACTGTTCCAAATCACATAATACCTCGTCACTGGTACACGTATGATTTTTTGCAATCTGATTCGGAAATGTGCACCCAAATCATAGTTGCAGCGGCAGACGATTTATCTGGGCAACTTTCCCGAGCAGACGCGTTTAAAAACATTCAAAAATTGTTAAATAGCTCGTCATAAGGTACACGCTCGAATTATAGCTTAAAATAAAGCTCTTTGAATGTAGAATTTGGGAAAACCATGAAAAACGCGGCAGACGGTCGTATAACTATAGCAGACGCCTTTGAAATTTGTAGTTCCATCTTCGTTTAACGCATTACTCCCCGTGCGGTAAAGCGAGAGCGCTGGCACTCAAGCACGGTCTGCTTGTAAAAACGGATCTACAGCTGGAAGTAGGTACCTACACCTAAATTAAATGTAGGCGTTCCACAAATAATAGGATTTATGTCACAAAACATGAACACAAATATTAAAAAATATTTCTGCACTTTACTACACTACATTATTAATGTAAATAACGACTAACACAACATACAAAACGCTATAAAAAGTGTTTAGAATGGCAATATAACAAAAAAAAAACGA